GATTACATGATTACATATAATTCAATAGCAGTAAATTATTCATAATTTATTGATTCCCTAATTCTTGTTTTTCATCTTTTAAATTTTACTTTCTAAAATGGCCTGCTGCTTATATACACACTCAGAAAGTCGTGCAGTTTTGTGGACATTCACACAAAGACTATAGTCATTAGTCAGGTGGATATAATTACACAGAAAATTAAGAGGCCACACAATATTTGACCAAGTCATTTCAGGATTAAGAAGTGTTTTCTCAACCTCCGTGAAGTTGGCCCCCACCCAACGCAAAACGTCGCAAAAATAGTCTCAATCGTTTGTGCTCCGTTTGTGCAGTAAACATTTTCGTTTGTGCTGCTTTGGTTTGTTAGATATAAAATATTTATTTAAAGGTCATTCAACATCGCAAAATCGTCTCAATCGTTTGTGCTCCGTTTGTGCTGTAAACATTTTCGTTTGTGCTGCTTTGGTTTGTTAGATATAAAATATTTATTTAAAGGTCATTCTCAGGTCACTCAGCCCCCCCACATTCTCCAAATTCACCCGAAATAGTCTTGTTTGTTTGTGCTGGTTTGTGCTGGTAAAAATTTCATTTGTGCTACTTTGTTTTTTAAAATATTAAACATTATATTTTAGGCGATGACGTCACCAGCCCCCCTACACGCTCCAAACTCACCCAAAATAGTCTCAATCGTTAGTGCTTCGTTTGTGCGTCGTTTGTGCCGTAACAATTTTCGTTTGTGCTGCTTCAGTTTTTAAAATATTAGACATTGAACGTCACCAGCCCCCCACACGTTCCAAATTTACCCCAAATACCTGTGTTTGTTTGTGATCCGTTTGTGCTGGTTTGTGCCGTAAAAAAAATTATTTGTGCTGCTTTGGTTTTTAAGATATTAAAATAATATTTAATGTTGTATTTCTGAGGTCACTCAGCCCCCCCACATGCTCCAAATTCACCAGAAATAGTCTCGTTTGTTTGTGCTGGTTTGTGCAGGTAAAAGTTTAAATACAAAAACAAGTTCTCTAAAACACAAAAAAGGGAATACACAATTTTGAAGCCTGGCAACTGGACGCATGTGATAAATCACCACATTTGGCCAGTCTGCAAAAGTGCCACCTTGTTTTGTTCGGGTTGATGTTGCACACCGCATCAAGATGATCTGCCAGTGGGACTGCTTGAAGAAAATAGCACATCGCATTAAAGATTTCTTTGTGAGGTCAATGGCACAGCTTCTAAAGTCACAATCCATGGACGATGCTAGAGAGCTACTACGCAGCATTACTGTTGTGGCTCTCAGTGAAACAGAGGGCAATGACAGCTCTGGAGTCCCCCTCATATCAGAAAGGTGCAAGAAATACCTGAAAGCCCGAATTGCAGAAGAGTGTGTCATCATTCCAGATGTAGAGGGGGAGGACCTGGAAAAAGCAGATAAACGCAGTGGGTAGGTGACCAAACGCAGACAGACCTACGGCAGTGGGTGACAGAAATATGTGAGGAAAGCAGGTCACTTGCTGTGGCTAATGGAGATCATGCACAATGCACTTCCTCCTTGAGATTATTCCCAATATAATCTGGCTTGCAAGCTACTTACCACTCTGGACAGGGGTAATGATCCCTCACTTCCGAAGCACCAATATCATCGCAAGTTCAGCCAATGTTGAAGCAGAATTCAAAAACATTAAACGTGGCCTTTTCAAGCATGAAAACTTGCCGATTCGGGTGGATCGATTCATTGCTCGACATCTGTCCTTCATTGAAGGCAACATGCGCATTTGTTCTGCAAAACAAAAAATTTAAGAAAAAGGAGAAGAAGATGCAGCTGTTACAACAGTGATCGTCAAAGAAGCCAATCCTCTACCAACCATAACTTGCAGTGAAGGTGTAAAACCAGAAATGGATGCTTCCTGTTCTGGGAAGTCTGACATTGTCACAATCATCCATCCAACAGATGAAGACCCTGTTGAAAACTGGAGAGGCCTAGCTCTTCCACCCAAAAAGAGAAAGAGGAATTCATACCTCTCTCCTTGTCCTGAATGGCTCCATGCAGATCCATCTGTGAGGGGGAAAAGACTGAAAGTGGAACTGTTGAAAAATGGAAATAATCAACAGCCTGTTAAACTCAGGAAATCAAGAATCTCTGTGCTGAACACATGTGCATTTGATGCTTTTTGTCAATGCTTATGTTGTGCTTTCTGTGATAGTGTCACCTTTGCAAATATTGTTTGTGGTGAGGACTCCAACAACCTCCTCCAGCTAGTGAAAACCATCACCACAAAGGGTCTGAATGCACAGGCCTACATACAGAGGGCAGAGCTGCTGAGTGGAATATTCAAACCTGTCCAACTGAAGTCTGGTGCTCTCCAAATCGACGCACAGTGCCACATCTCCACTATCATTGAAAAATCAGTGACAAAACATGCATGTGTTTACTTCACAAAACAGTGCTCCTCACAGTATTGCAGTCACAGCACACAAGTCACAAGGGAAATACCATTTGTTTGTACTTCTGTTGCTGTATTGCAGGCTTCTGGCATCGCTTATCTTCAGACCGCAGTGGAAGAAGGCCTTAACCTTCCGGAGTCCCCCTGTCTCAGGCCAATCCAAAGTCCATCACAGTGTCCCTCTGCATTCAAGACAGACTCTACATCAGGAAAAGTGCTCTGTGCAGGGAAAGTTTCTCACAGTTACAGTCTAGGAGAACTTCTGTGGATTGACACTGACCTGGGAAGCAACTCCATAGAATTTCCTTTGAGTGAATTTCCCTCCAATCTGATGCTCCAAGGAGAGAGATTTACTTTAAGGGCAGTCATTGCTTTCAAAGGAGGCTTAATCCAGGATGCTCTTGGACATTATGTGGCCTACTGCAGGAGGTCTCCATGTGTCTGGGAGATGTATGACGACCTGAGAAGTGGAGTGACAGGAGTGTCAGAAAAAAACAAAATATGCCCACATGCAGTGTTATACACAAAAGATTGATTGCACTGTTTACATGTAATCTCACAAGTATTTTTGTTGTAAGCCACACACCCATGTTTTCCTACTCCTGTTTGGAGAAGTTGTTTCTGCTCTTCTGGAAGTCAGACTTGATGGAGTTTGCACTTAAATCTATTATTCTGTGTGGCACTTTTGGTTTGAAGGCAGACAGTGTGGCATGGCTTGTCAGTATTAAGCGTTTTTAAGTTTAAGTTTTTAAAGGTCCATTATTTGTGTTAATGGATGTCCGATAGTACACTTTAATACAGTTTCACAAGTAAAATAATTTTGACAATTCATTGAGTCATGAGTTTCCACATACATACATGCATATAATACACACACACATATAGCTTATGTATGTATAAACACAGAGATACAGCAAACATATTATGGTGCGTGTATTTATGACATATACTGTTATTCACGTAATGAGACACAGTAACAAGTAAAAACATTTACCTTGGAGTTGGTGTTACATTCCACTTATCCTGTGATCCGCTGTGTCTGTTATAAGTTGGAAACAGTCGATAGGTAACTTAACTAGGATCCGCTTGGATCTTACCTTGTTACTTTAACTGTATAAAAAACACAGCCGCTGTGACGTCATCGCCTAAAATATAATGTTTAATATTTTAAAAACTGAAGCAGCACAAACGAAAATTGTTACGGCACAAACGAAGCACTAACGATTGAGACTATTTTGGGTGAGTTTGGAGCGTGTAGGGGGGCTGGTGACGTCATTGCCTTTAATGTAATGTCTAATATTTTAAAAACCAAAGCAGCACAAACGAAA